CATATTGAGCAGCATTTCAATTATCACATCTAACGATTCCAGATGGTTAAACTTTACGCTAGAATCTATGGTGACATTGTGCAAAACTGGGGAAATTAGAAGATCTGGTGAACGCCACTTGTTGTCGGAAAACAGGTTGACAAGTCACTCCGATGCGACATGTACTGTTTGAGTACAGAGCACTTGCAGTATTCACACGTTTAATAGTTCTGTGGAAGCAGGTTAAAGAGTAAGGATCGATAGACTGAATCATTCGCACTCTTGAAAGCACACCTATAGCCGGCCAGTGGTGCGTGTTGTCGGTACAATACTCGTCGCATATATCGATCCACTATCATTTCCAAGATTGAACAGCCGAAGTACTGCTGAGGTCGGAATCCAACGAACCGGCGCTTGTGAACTCAGCGTGTTCGAATGCACAAGCATCGACTGCGTCCGTTACACGTCACTGTCGGTGCCCATTCCGCGCTTGACAGTGCCAACCAAACGGTCGAAAAAACAAGTGCGCATGATAGCATTCGCTTGGTTTTCGTCCGTCGAATAGTTAGAGGCTCACATTCGTTTGATGCGGCATTGCCTACGTGGTACTACGCATCGGCACAAATCCAATATTAAGACCTGTCCAAACAAGTGAGAATTCATGTCGTGCACGAAAGTGCAGCACTTTTAACTTGGATCATGCATGAAAGAGCAACTACCACAGGAAACAGAGTCGGCTCAGCTTAATTTTTTAACATGCAGACCACTGTAGTGCCATGGATCGAGTTACATCGGCTCACATTTTTAATGAAAACCTAGTACAAATAGAGGGAAGCCCCAATTAACATGAAAGTTATGATAAGGGTGTAAGAGCAAGTGTAAGTCACAAATCAGCAAGCAAGACGCACATTTCAACTGTACAGACCAGAATCGGCTACTTCACATGTCGCACTCAAGTATGCACATCCAATCTGTGAAATGATCAAGTTGTGTACCGGAATAATCGACAGGGAATAATAGCCAAAGTCGTGACCATAGAATAAATTCACCCAGGTTTGCGTTACATTTAGAGAAAGCCGATCGACACAGCGGTCAAACACGAGATTAGAGAAAGATGCAGTTAAATAATACGTCAGTCCACCAACTCTTGATTAAGAATGCACATTGTAGGACGACAAACTGGAAATAATCAAAAACCGTGTCCCGCTTTTCTGCTTCAGCTTCAGGGTAGTTGGACGGCGAAACTAATCAGATTTCAAGCTCGGAACGGTAATTGGCATGAAGAGTAGTGGAAGTAGTTGATTACTTAAACTTTCTTTTTTCTGGCCACTAATGCTTTCGACTACTAAGAGAGTAGTTCCTTCTCTGTTGCTCGGTTTCCCTTCCTTTTCGTGTCGTATCAAGTAATCACTTTTGTTCCAATAACGCCCAATGCATTTTAGTAAACAAAGCGGTCATATTTCACTTCAGACAACCGCTTATCGGATGAGCACTAAAAGGAAGCGTGTCGTCGCCATCACGATGGCCACTCGTGGCGGTAGATAAGTTAGAAATGATAAGGAACGCAACAAAATTTGCAGCCCAAAGGGAAAGACGGTGAATAAACTACCGCGGATATGGGCTGCTCAGATGATAGCTTGATGCTACAAGCCACGATGGAACCCAGTAAGAATTGTAGTGATTGTCAGAAGAAAACGAATATGCAAAAATATGACAGTATCACATTCGGAAGTGCTATGTGCCCAGTTGGTTGGTGTATGGGTTGCTGCGGCAAACTGGTACAGGCCTCACTGTCGCACGGCAACATCTCGGTTTATGACTACAGACATCCATGGGTGGTGCTTAAGGTCACATTACTTCGTCTGATAGCAATGTAGCTTCTTTGGCTACGCGATGAAACTTAAGTTATTTTGCAGACGATGCTTTTATTTCGATACATAGGCAAAGGGAGTACTGGCAAGATTATTGCATATCAATGCATCTATTTGTGTCTGGGATGTCCCCATATGACCTGGTAAGGGTAAAGTTTAGGACTATGTAGACAGGTCAGGTGATAATCGAAGCATAGCAGACGGAGACCAGTTTTTGCAACTCTCGGAAGTAAACAAACAATAAAATGCATGGTAACAGAGAGGGTGTATTTGGCTGACTGCGAAAAACTGCTGTTAACAAACATCTTTGGGTGGAAATGTGCACAGGCCCCACCGGAGATAAACATAATTAAATTACGCTATCGGAGCACTTGAGTGTAACGAGTTAGTTTCTCTGTTGTGTGAATTTGGGTCGTACTACCAAAGAAAATACACAAGTACACAAAACTTGACAATTAATTGAAATTACATTATCACTCCGGTGACGGCATGATCGTCCACTCTACTAACACGTCGGCGTTACCGTGTACAGTAAAATCAAGCTAAACGCAATAAATGCAATCGGAAGTTACTGGTGGTTTCTTTTTAAACCCAGGAAGGCAGTGAATGGATTACGTACCACGATTTCAACGTGCAGTTTGGTTTGCTCTAGAATGCTTGTCATTCCACCGGGTCACAGGGACTGATTGCAGAGCGGTTGAATGTCAGTAGTTGCCTGCTAGAACATTGTACTACGCGACTGATTTCATGCTTGCTCGCGTCCATCAGGTGATGTGAACAATACCGCGAATCCATCCAGAGCAGTTGTGCCGACCCTTAACCCTACACTACAGGGGTGTGAGCGATGCAAGACAAAACACTGTAACTTGTTGATTCCTTTCCAAGACAGTAAGCGAGTAAGCACACTGATTTCAACGTCAGTCGCGGTTAGAACTGGGATTACGTATCGCAGTCACCCCGTACAATGGCTGCTTCAAATGAAGCAACAAGAGTTCCGTAAACGACGTCAGAGGTGTTGTTCGTTGATTGGTGCCATAAGTTCAAAGGAATCTCTCGAGAATCTCCAAGTCTCGGGATCAAGTTGCAGTCCAACCATCTCTACCAGATAAATACAGTTAATCAACCAACGGACCGTGGAGTACGATATACTGCGTGCGTCCAATCAGAACCAAAGCTTTCGTGGTGGAACTCGTGCAACCATATCAGACAGCAAGCAGAAGCTAACCGAGTTCGCTTACCAGAGCTTCATCCCTACTTCTCAACATATTTCCCCCCTTTCTTTCTACTCGCATACGCCTAGAGCAGAGTTAAAACAGAACGCCTAAGCCTGTTGAATATTACCAACCGCATGTGTCTTACACCAAGCAAATCATTCATCTTGGCTGGGCCTTTAAATCGACTGTGTCGTTTTCATTGAACATGGTTTTTTTACAACAGCGCTATGGATAGATTAGTTTTCTCTGAATATTTCAACATAGACCTTTGTCAAACTATTTCCAAGGTCACCATTGCCGTCTTTCGCGTTATTGTTTAGAAAGGATCAAGATACTGCGCACTTGAAGATGGACCGACCTGACTAAAAATCTAGGTTGCCGCACTTGCCTGTCAATGCAGCTTCAGATTATTCTGTCCGGGATCGCTTTTGGTTGCTCGTTTATACTGACCGTTTATTCAACTGACATCTGTACACAGTGTATTGATAATGTAATTTTAGCCCATCCGTAGTTGATAGTGTAAAGTGTTGAAAATGTACCCAGATGGAAACATGGAGCTTACTTTGACTTGACTTGACTCTAGTCAATTTTTCTTCTGTTTGTCTCGGCCTACCTGTGCAGTTGCTGAGCTATTAATCAATAAATAACTCCACCTTTTATCACTCCTTTTTATACCTCTATCATGCATTAAAATCTTTCGCCTAAATTATATGCCATACTCTATAGCCTCGAATTTCAGTTTTAAAGATTCTGTTATCAGCACACCATTGCTCTTTAGCCCACACCACAGCAAAAGAAAAATTGATTACGTCCATAGGCTGAAATCTCCTGCATGACATTACGATGTATTCTGTACCCATTTAAAACTTTAAAAGGGGATAACTATTAATGTTGAAAAATGCTCATTATTTCTGCTTAACATTTGAACTAAAATATGGATACTATACGACGCAATTGTACAAGAAACAGATCTTGCCAAAAAGGGTATGCTTCGTGAATCCGATGATATACATTATTATTATTATTAGTGTTTTTATTACTTTTATTTAGAGGCACAGGCGACTGCAGCTCTATCCTCATAACTAGTGAAAGCACCCATCGAATAAGCATATCGTCCTGCCAGTTGACGGTTGGCAGGAGATTCCGTAATGCAGCCAAAAGAAATTTGTCCACCTTAAACAACTGGCCAGGTCATGCTGTTGGTCGGTTTGCTGACAATTCCTTCTGTCCCATACGGACCTATTGTGCTGTATTTTGTCAGTGAATCCTAGTGTTGGACAGTCAAAGGCATGAACATGATGGCTTAAGTAGTGGTTCTTGTTGGTTCACTCAAACATAGGGATTAAACATATAGCCCCTGGATTCGTCTCCGGAGATAACACAGACGAAGAATTATAGGCATTTCTGCGTTTGGTACCTCTGTGTTTTACATCTGTAATTCCATCCTCCAACCATTTGCAGTTTGGATCTGTTACCTAGGAGTCATAGCTAACCTGCTTCATTTTTGCGTTATTATTCCCATTGTCATTAATTGGAATTGTTGAGGGGCACCGATTTAGGCAAATGGATCAACCGCGTTTAACCGAAAGCATATTAAGTAGTGGACTGGAAGGATTATGCACATAGTACGATGACTGTACAATTGCTGATGCAGCACGCATTTGCTCAACAACCGATTCATAGGTATCCACTTGATGTAGACAGCTATCAACCGCGGTGGTCACATATGCCCTTAGTCCTACGTTAGAATGTGACTAACCAGCTTGAATGACGCTTAGGTCCGTGATTCATGCTCGCAGTACAGCATACGGTTTGCCAAGATAATAACCGGGGAACGTATGGTGCTTGAAAATCAGCTATTACCCAGGGACCTACTGAAAATCTTATTTATGCCTCCAACTGGGCATCTGGTAAGAAAAACTGAGTCCGAACTTACTTTTTATGTATCCATGTATACACCATAGACGATACACGATGAGCATCCCAAAAACCAGCGAGAATGTCCATGCGGTATTTGCGGGTAACGTGGTATGGGTCACACCGCAAAAGGTCAGCTGTCCGACGGAGCCCAAATCCACCGTTGGCTGGGAAGCACTCATGTGAATGTTGTAAATGTTCAAAGAGAAGCACACTATGCAAACGATTGCGTCTAACACGAGAAGAACACTTTTGCAAAATCGTCTGGATCCGAGGGCCCACCATTTGAATGGTTGTTCGATGACGAACAAAAGCAAAGGGAAGAGGCTTATACACAGCAGAGATAGTTGTGCGTTAAGGATCATGTTTCGCGTGTTTCCAGGCTGCGATTTGTAAAAGGGAGCAGAAAGTGGGCACCGTTTAATCAGTTAATGAGATTGAAGGAGAATAATTTATCATCACTTGTAAAAACCACCAGTTTTCGTCCCTCGTAAAAGACGGAATTACAGAGATTTATGTTGTGAAACTGAAGCGGTGTTGTTGCTAAATATAAAGTTCTACGCCCTTCACAGATCAACCTGACTTCTCAACTCAAAAGAGGAAACAATCGTCTTGTATCAAAGTAGAACGATGGCCAGTGTTCACTAACTCATAATTCGATTAATAAACGTTATGTTTTTACACTCGGAATTAAATAAAACCCACTCCACTGATCGCATAATTTTTAGACTTTTTTCTCGCTGTTTGCAAAGTTACAATCTGCATTCTGTACATCAATCTTTCACGGTAGGCGATTAGGGAAGACAAGCAGCTTATTAAGGCTAAAATGTCTACGCACAACAACGTGCGGAAGAAGACCTTATAGTAAAAATATTCCAACAGCTCAAAGTGTGGTTGAATCGCCCCTGTTTCCAATAGATACATAGCTCCAAACAGAATGCACAAGTTACATGAAAAAGAGGAAAACCGACAGAATAATAGCAGTGTCTTCTCAAGCGAATATCAACCCGTCATTAAAACACGTCCGTATTTGAGTTCAGAGAGGTTTGGAAACAATCGGTTTCTAAACTTCTCTGAACTCATGACTACTCGATCGGTTCTAAGCATCTTCCAAGAATTTGACGCCCGTATTTGATTCCATTAAATACGGACTCCCACAGCGCGGGTTTTTTTGTGGGTGCTGCCAAAGGAGGAAAACTTTGTTTAACAAAACTGATAAAATCGGAAGATCGTGCTAATTCGTAGCTCACCGAAATCATTCACTAGGTATCTAGACGGTATTTTGTACACAGAGTTTAAAAGTGTCGGAAGGCGCTGAGAAGCCATTGGTACTTAGTACATAAATTCAATTAGGGCCAACTTTTCTCAACTAAGAAAGACAGCTGCGAAATCGAACAAAGATTAATGCTCATTAGCACATTATGCTCCAAACAGAAATCGTTGATCGTCAATTTTACTAAAATTGCTGTATTTTCTTTTCATTTTTCCAAGTGCAAACTAATAAACCAAATGCATTTAAACTATTCTGTTGACTAATTTATCAGTTTACTATCAAACATTGACGGTGAGTTCCACAACTCTGTGAAGGTGTCCCATTTTTGAAGCAAACATTTTTGTGTCAAAATGCCTATTGCGATACTACTAGTCTGTGTGTTCGTGTCGTCCAAGCTACGACTACGCGTGGTTGCCTCATGACTCACTAGTGTGCTCCTGAGTTTTACACATTGTGCCTTGGTATATTCTGTTGCTGTTTAATGGGACAAACGACAATGTCGAAGACAAAAATTGACGAGGATGCTTTGTCTAAATACATCTAGGCATTTAGCTATCGTAAAAACAAATGGTTGAAGCAAGTCACCGAATCCTTTCATGATATAAGTTAGTTCCAGGCGTTAAATTGATATCTTGCTAACAATTCAAGCCGACATCACCATAAGGTAAACAGTAGTTATGAGGAAAATAGATGACACCAGTGGAAATCGCATTGTGATTCTGACCACGGTCGGGCGGTAAATTCAGCAGTTACAATAAAATCCGGGAAACAGCAACCACTGTCATAAATACATCTTTCATACTAGCAGACCTTTTGCCTATTTACAATAACTGACAAGCAAAGGCTACTAAGTGGAAAATATTCAGCACATCTGTGCCAATTGATATAGTGGTTCAGCCGGTTACCTACAAATTCAATGTTACTGTACAGGCCCGGGTTCTTCTGTATGTGTTTGAAAGCACCTGCAGTGTACAACCCAGTGTATGGTTACGTAATGTTGCGCGGCAAGGATAAATCAGGGCAGAACACAAATTCAGTTACAAAAAATAGGTATATATCGTGAACATCTACATCGACAAAACATATAGACTATAGAATACAGGCGGTCTGCATTGCTCAAATCATCCGGAAATATAAGTGAGTAGGAGGAAAATCATTGTGCTTTGGGGAGTTCTCGCAGTTAGACTCAATCAGATAGTTGCCAGATATCCATGGAAGCGCTACACGGCCGGTTCATCCCATTGGGACTCATCAGTAACGTGCCCTGGGTTCGAATCCGACAGGATTCGAACCCATGGCCTTATCATTACTAGCCAGCGACTAATGCTACTGAGCCATGGGTGACGGCGATGGACCGCCATGACTGATATATCCAACTGTAATATCGCGCGGCTCATCCTCCACTGCCACGCTCGTAATGCCGCCACCAATCGAGGTGGAACGTGTGACGTTGCGGTGGTTACTGAATATTAGCGAGCAGTATGGGGATTTATTGTGCTCAGTGGCGAAAGTCGCTGGCTCGTAAGAGTAAGGGTCATGGGTTCGAATCCGTCAGGATTCGGCGGGTGCGCGCTACCGACGAGCCTTAATGTGACGAAATGGTCGTGTAGCTTGTGTGGTCGTTATCTGGCTGAGTCTAGTTGCAACGAATCTGCTCATCTGAAACTACCAGTACATGGATGATGGGCTGCCACAGATCTCGGTAGCTATTTACTCGAACAGATGCATCCGCAAGTTAAATGCTTGGCTGTCGTCCGAGCCAACTGCTTCTAAGACGCTAGACACCTGCCTACACAATTTAGAGGGTATTGTTTGAGCGTTATTCAGTGGTGGTTCCAAAACTCCAAACATCCAAACTACGCTCCGAGCACTACCTTTTGTAGAACATACCATGTGTTCTCGTTTGGTGAACATAGGGAAAACATTATGCACATTAGGAAGTTCACTAAGGGAGCGCATCCTTTCCTCTGTACTCAGTAACAGCATACACACTTTGCTTAGGTCAACAATAGAATATGCAACTGCAGTGTTGCAACCAGCATTCTTTAGCCGCAGGGCACACAGAGCGCAGTCAGTAATCATGGATGGGACCAAGTGCACTCCAGATGAACCCAGCTCAAGTACTCTGCATTGATTTTTGGTGGTCTCTAACTAACATATGAAACGCACTGTTTTCTATGTGCAACGGATCAAACTTTGCATGAGAACCAACCCTGGAATATGCATTGTGGAGAGCTTCAGTGTAAAATGAACTCACCGGAAACCTCAGAGATTCTGTCTCCAAAATTAAGCGTATGAGAACCATGATGGCTTCCACACCTGTCAGAGCAATCACTGCGCGGTAATATTTACGCATTCCAAAAACTGCTTTGAGACGTTTTCGTGCAAGTAGGCATTTTCCAGATTTCCGCTCGCGGATGAGGTGTTGTCGCCTGGCAACAAAGCCAGCTTCGGCATCGTCCAAAGTTGGACCGTTTTTTGACATTCGTTTGTGCTCTGTCGTGGAATGCTTGCCTCCCAAGTGAGGCACCTACTTCGTTTCCGGCCAGAACTCACTGCGTTCTATGCATCAATCGAATGCAGTACTCTGTAAGGTAATACATGCGTGAAAAAAATAAGATTTTCATGGAAATAACCTCAGAATGTAATGCATATTTTGGTTCATGTTAATAACGCATGTAGCGTTGCGGTTGGTACGGTGTTGTTTACGAAGCAGTGGTTCAGCAGATTACGGCTGCATTAGGCACTTGATTACATAGGTTTACTTTTTCTAAAAATTTCCAAATTTAAAGCCAGAAGTAGTAGATCGACATGGAATCAAGACGTGGTGACTAAGTCATTATTCCGCGTAAGTGTGCATGCATTGATAAAGGTTGTATTGACTACTATCAAAACAGGCGTTCAGCAGATGCAGTGTGACAAAAATGGTAGCTGAAGTTGTCGCATCCATGCAAAGTAGTATGAAACATGGGAAACTGATCACTGGCTATGCTAACGGGTGCGAAGTGTGGTTGTTTTGAGTTACTGGACTCACAATTGCTGAGTTGGCCGCACAGATGGATAGGACTGACTTGGAGTTAACTGACTATGTGTGCAGCCTCACCAGGTTCGTCATTATATCTCATCAAACTTTTAAAACGCATGTATCAATTAAACTTAGCATGTGTTCAATTCAGCTTCCAATCCCGGTGTTTCGCAATCTTCAATGCAATAAAGTTATATCCCGGTGTTAGAAAAATTGACTTAACCATAATATCAAAAGTAAGACCAAGTTAACTAGCTACTGCCTAAAAGTTCTGCTATAATGTAGTGCGCTGCATAGTGCGTCCTAGTGTGCTTCCCAACAATCCAAGCTATATATTCTACCGCAGAAATATGTAATTCAAGCGAGTAAGGTAAACATCAGGAAAATATTGAACGAGAAGCTTTCAGCTGGTGCAGGTAATCAGGTTGATCATTCCTGAGTGCAAACAGTAATCCTATCTGCAAGTGATCGTGCACGCACTGAACTGATGTCAACAGACACAGGATCTGCCAGCTGATGTCATGGTAAGGCAATGTATGCACGTGAGAAGTATGTACAATATTACTGCGGAGGACAGTCTGAAGAAATCGGCCCAACTAAGGTGGAAAAGAACATTAAACCAGCAAAAATGTTCGCTGGCTCATCCTAATATATGGCTGGCTTGCCGACCTACCTACTCTTGACGTCAGCTGGGTGGTTCGGGTGTACCCCCTTCCAACAAAACGTTCGTCAGCAGTGTTGCAGAAAGTGCCGGGTTTCGGCTGGCAAGTGTTCTCCGTGTTAAATGCCACATACGTCTGTTTAACAACACTATAACGTAGTGGATGTAACTCTGCACTAAATCCAGTCACTGTCCCTTGCTTCACCTTGATGGAGCATTGTGCTCCAGCAAGTATTTACTGACATCAAATGGAGGTTGGGATTATGTTTGGTTACCGACCAAGCGAAAGGTGTATGTACTGAGTAATCCGTCACCAGTTATTAATGAGCGTGATTCCCTGAATTCGCCACGCTGCCTTGAGAGTAGACTATCTAGCCAAAGGCTCGGTTTTGGCAAACGGGTAGTATCAGGCCAAATAACGAAACCATGGATCGTACTTCTGCTATACCGCGCTTAACTGGATTCACTTCCGCTGCTCACACGTTCCCATACCACCCGATAAGTTGTTACCAATCTTTCTATCTGTCACCACCCGATTCCTTTTTCCAGGATTCTACTCCATGTGGTCATGTTGACCCCCACAGAGCCTGTCCAGAGGCTATCCTTCGGCCTCGATCCTCGTTCCGTCTGGGAGTATTAGTGTACTTACATCTATGCAGATCGGGTAAACAGGATGGTCTCGCGCGCACCTCGGAATCCCTTGCCATCGATGCTTGTTATCTTATGGTGACTCGATTGAAAGAGCCCAGTACCATGAGTGAGTTGGGATCACTCACTAATCGCGGAGCAATATAACATCTACTTCTGTTTGGTGACACAGAAGCAGGCTTGGCTGACCGCGCTGCTAAACTGGTTCCCGATTAATAGCGGACTGTGTGGATTTCAGCTTCAACAGTCATGCAGGATCCTCAGACGTCGTGAAGAGAGACGCAAATTGTTTGTGATCTCAGCGTAAGCTCCAACGGACTGCAGTTGTCACACGGTCACGGATGATTTTTATCGTGAACTTCACTAACTCCTGAACAGAGCTTACGAATCCGATATTGTTATCCTTGCTGGGAATCTCAATGCAAGGGTCGGTCATCTACTGTCATGCGAAACTCACCCAGGCAGTCGCTACGCACTCCATGAGATCTTTTCAGATAATGGAAGAGACTTGTCATACTGTGTGAAGACAATCGTCTGCTTCTCTCGAGAATCAGCTTCAGACATTCGAGGAAACGTTTCCCAACTTAGCGCCCAACTTCTGCGACTAAGTTATAGTGTCAAACTGACCTTTTCGTAATCGCTTACAGATGGTACGTTAGTGTAAATGATTGTAGATCTAGCTGGTCCACATTTTCAACTCAGACCATACTTTTGTCTGTGCGAACATCTGCATGAGTTTCGGAGAGTCCCAGAAACTAAAGCACTGCAAGGTGGATACAATTAAGCGACCTATTCCCTCAGATCAGCTGAGCTGCCAAGCCGCGAAGGACAGGTAAACAATGAGAAACACTAGACCTTAATGCAGAAGACTATGATCGCTGCAGCACAGTTAGTCTGTGGCCTTACTCAGCACCCCATGTAGATCTGGATCTTCATGCGCACTTTGGATCAATATGACCACCGCAGGAATATCCCAGTGGAGTCTAACTATAATGAAATGTGCCGTTATGTCAGTCGACAGCTCAAAGTCTGCGCGGTGATCGCGAAGCCTGGTGGTTTTAGCGTGCTTCGGAAATGGAGACTGCTGCTTTGTCTGGCAGTACTCTCAAGCTCCTGCAGCTCATTCGTTCCAATGGACACAGGAAGCCTGGTGTCATTGAGACTAGTTGCGAAGCTGACGGTTCGCCGATTGCTTACCTACAGCGACGGTAGTAGCGATGGGCTTAATATTTTCACTCCCAGTTCAGTTGGCCGTCACCGTCCACTTTTATGTTCTGCGAACTTTGCTGTCCGCCCTGGGTCTTTATACCTGATCCATAGAGCGAAGCGGAAGTTTGTCTTGCGATTCAGCACTTGAAGCGATTCAAGACTGCGGGCTCAGACGGTCTTCCGCTGGAGTTGTTCAAACATGGCGGAGTAATTGGCCTCAGAAAGCTAATCTCATTGTTTGCCAAAATCTGGCTTGCAGAAAAGGTGCCTTCTTCCTGGAGCGAACCAGTTATTGCGCCGAGTTTTAACAAGGGTGCTCGCACTTCGTGTGCTAATCGCCGGTGGATTAGTCTTATTCCGTTTTCATCCAAGCTATTGGTATCCAGTGTTCTTCGTAAACTATCCCCTATTCTTGACTGCTAGTGCCGGGAAGAGCAAACATAATTTCTTTCTGGTCGTTGGTGTATGGACCAAATATTCACGTTTCCCCAAATCCTCGAACACGGCCAGGTTTACCAGAGGTCTACCAACGTTACATACTTAAACATACGTGCTGCATTCGACGCAGTTGATTGACCTGCGCTATGGCGTTGTTTACTAAGGAAAGAAGTCCCGAAAAAGCATACTGCCATCCTAAGCACACTCTAGCTACAAATCTCAAGTAGAGTCGGTGTCTATGGCATGCTTTCTTCATCCTTCGCTGTCAATAGCGGTGTACGACGAGGCTGCCCTATGTCCCAGTTCCTCTTCATTTTGCTAGTGAAGACGTTCTGTCCAGAGATCTGGATGGTTAGTCACATTTTGGCCTACAACTACTACCGGGTGAGTGACCAGCCGACTTAGATCATGCCGATGACATCGCACTACTTGGTGACGACAAGCAGAGTATGCAAACCATTTTAAACGGTTTAACGATTGAGGTCTCTAAGTACGGAATATGCTACGCCTTGTTGAAGTGTAAAATACTGCTCCCGGATTGGCGCTCCCATTCCCGTTTTCATTCTCGAAAGCACACGGCTTGAAGATGTTGACAGCTTTGTCTACACGAGCAGCTAAGTGTCTGTCGGTGGCCCTATCAGCAAACGAAATTCTCTCCATATCGCCATAGCCCGGTATGCGTTTGTTAACCAGTAACACTTGTGGCGTCGTGGGAATCTCCTTTTTGGTAAAGGGTCGTGTTTACAATGACACGGTTCGGGCGGTGTTGCCATATGGAAGCAAGTCGTGACCAGTTTGCTCTCGGCCTTCGACAATGAGTGCTTGGGGAGCACTACTCGTGTGTGGTGGCAACAACGCAGCTGTATCAGTGAAGGCAGACGAAGTGTCTTAGGGTATACGAGTATTCCATTCAACAAGCTGATTTGGCTACGTCAGTTAAGAGGGCTTAACCACCTCCTGCGTCTGTCAACCGAGCGTTTGCTGATTGCGCCCTGTTCGCTCGTGCAGTACTCGACTGGAAAAAACCACGTGGTGGTCAGGCCGTCCACCTGTCGATAACATATGTAATCACTGACTTCCAGTCTTGCTGCCGCTGGACACACATGCCTGCTTGGTTGGGACATAAGGATGCCGATAGTTGGAAACAATTGAATATATGGCGAACAATCGAAATCAGTGGAAGATCTGTGTACATCCTACCTTAGATTCAGACGCTTAACGCCCAACAATTGAAAAACGATCAAAATAGAAGCAAAATTAGCGCGCAAAGTTTCCGTTTCTCTTGTGGCACAATAGCTGAAGCGTGCTGCTCAGCTTCAACTAATGTGCTATACCAATGATGCCGCGTCGACTCTATTTGTCAGCTGATTGACATGGATGTGTTGGTACTATGTCAATTCAGTAGGCTGCTGATACTATATATGTATATATATATATATATATATATATATATATATATATTCCAATAGATCTGATGTATATGATCCTGAGAACCTATATACTT